GCAAATAAACAAATATTGCTTAAAAATTTGTCAAACAAACAAATACAGGTCCGGATTTGGTTTGTTTGATTTGAGAGCAGCGCTGGACCTAATTGCTTCTACACTAAAATGGAAATCCTGTTAACGAAGCCAGCTGGCTTCACCATCTTTGCGGGGATGTATTTATGGGTCGACGGAAATCTAGCGAATCAGATGTTACAAAAGTCATGCCCGTGGTAAGTGTCATGCCCGTGTAAGTGTCATGCCCGTGTAAGTGTCATGCCCGTGTAAGTGTCATGCCCGTGTAAGTGGCATGCCCGTGTAGCCAAAATGTCATGCCCGTATAGCAATTCCCATAAAAAAACTTATCTAGAGTAGCTCAAGGAAACTTTCCCTCAACTAAACTGCCAAACGCAGTGTCGCGTGTACGCGAAACTTCAGGTTTAGCCTAAGCTCGTGGGCTCTAAGTTCGCACGTTGCTACTTTCCTTTAACTCTAGGTTCGTCAGTAAATATTCTGTTCTGAATCTCTTTCGTCGCCTCGAAGGAAATATCAATGCTTTTCTCGATTCCTCAACCAGGTGTGCGTGGTCCTCAATATTCAAACAATGGCGAGCAACGTGACAGCTGCGGGAAAGAAGGTCGAGCTTGGCTATCCAAGAGTATCGACAGCGTGTAGTAAGTCTAGCTAAGTTTTCCCTACGGCTCGTGATTATCAAGGCAAGCGGGTGGTAGCTGAGGGCTACTGGACTCTTGCTCGATCACTGACCTGAGCTGCGACACTATAGGTTATTGCCGACGCCTAAAGAGTCGCTGCGTACGAGGTACAGAAGCCAGATGTGAGAGATGCCAACACCTGGAGAGGATGGACTGCGACTCCGGGCCCAAAGGAGAGCATCAGCTTCAGGTCGACTCTATTATCAATCATCTACTGAAAACATACCCTGTCATAAGTGTTGATGAGTTACACGGACAAGACACGCATGAGCGCACATATCTCGATCTAAGAATAATCGTCACGGCGATCGCTCAACTGTCCCTCAAGGGGCAGGCAGTGAACCGTGCTAAAGACAGTTATCCTCGGCTGTGTTTCTGGAAGGCCAGAGACTATGACCTTTCAATTGAAAGATCGGTTCCGCGCATACAAGTACTTAGTCTTATACTCCTCTTTGAGCAGGGCCGCGGACTATCTGACTCTAGCACACGCGATGCCCTTCACAGAGCGTGCCAAGTCATGCTAAAGATTAAGTTTTCGAGCAGCTTGACTGCAGACGAATGGCACAATCCGGGTTTATTCAATGTATGGATAGTCCTATCCGCTGCAATTCTTCTGCTAAAGTATGGACTTGACTCGTACATTGCGACATATCTAATTCAGCGCAGTGAGACCGACAAGGAGGTGGCGATATTAGAACGATACTTCGATCTCCCATACCCTCCCGCAGATCAACTAGAGCAGAGATTTGGGAATATAGGGACGGCAACACAATATACGCAGCGTGTGCAATCCATGCATGAACGGTATTTGCCATTGCAAGTGGAATCCCGCCAGGGTGCGGCTCTTCGAGCATCAGAGCCCAGACCTCTGCGGCCAATATAGGATGTTTTACTTGTCGGTAAGCCCACTAAGCCCCTGAAATAATTTATACTTAAAACCGAAACCTATAGCGAGTAGAAAGCGACTCGTAAAGTGTGATGAAAACAAACTAATTTGTAAACGTTGCGGAAAAGAGAACAGGCTATGTGGCTATTCACCCATCTTAACTGTGTGCTTCAGACAAGAGCGGACAGCGACAAAGCTAAGGCTAGACTAGCAATCTCTAAAAGTAATTTAGGCATGTGGATACGTATCATGACTATATAAGAGCTAGACAGGCCCATCGATCCAACAGTCATAGATAGCTCAATCAATCAACTCTTCTCTCTTATTTCCTGTTGCCTGGTTGCATCTCATCAGTATTCTACCCCACGATAGTGGCCCATGCCGCATCATTGCGCCGAAAGATTGAGATTCTGAACTCGGCCTATAGACCATGGTACACACGAAAGCTACTGCGCGTGGGACCCAGCGCTCCTAATAGTCCAGACCATTAACTGGACTATTAGTCCAGACTGCAGTCCAGACTAATAGTCCATAGACTGATGGTCCAGTCCACGCTCCTCAGACAGACTGTTAGTCCAGCCTATGTTTGCCAGACTGGACTGATGATCTGGTCTGACTGAAACAGACTGACAGACAGTCTGGTCCAATGGTCTTAGAGAATCTGCCAGACAAATAGTCTGCTCCAATTTTCTTGCACGCTCTTCGAGCCAATTGAAGCCTAACCCCTAACGCCATCAGAAATATGCTAGCCCTATTAGGCTTAGCGACTCCCATCTCTTGTTAGTGGTGAGACTTTAATTGGCTCAGAGAAAACGTGCGAGAGATCTTCCGTGCAACCTACACAGTTGGATATACATCTGTCCATGCAATGGTATGAGGATTGTTTTTTTTCGTTAGCATATATTTGGGCCCCGGCACCATTGATGGAATCGAACATGTGTAACCATACACAAGCATTTACTGTCAAACTTACAACAGAAATCATGTCTTCCATTGGCGATCTCTCGGGTATTGCTTCTGGCTGCGGTAGCCATCTGGATGATTCTGACCTTAACTTAGCCACTTCTTCTTTGACAGCTTCCTCATCTTCCAATGCTAGCGCCTCCCGCCACAAGACATCCCCCATCTGGCAATACTGTCGACTAGAGGAGGGCAGAAAGATTCCGGCTGCCTGGGTCGATTCCAACGGAAGGAAATGGTGGCATTGCCGACCCTGCTTCGAGAGGAAAAAAAGAGACAAGAAGTACAACTGCTCTGGTGGATCGTCCACTGTCATCGGTCATCTGCGCAAACAGCATGGAATTGTGATCTCTACGAGGCAAGCCATTCACCGGGAAGCGACAGAAAACCGCCTTGGAGACATCAGTGACTGCAGTCTGGACTGCAGTCCGGTCTGACGATGACGGACGGACCGACAGTCCAGTCTGGCAATGACAGACGGACCAGCAGTCTGGTCTGACGATAACGGACAGACCATCGGTCCAGTCTCTCGATGACAGACCAGCGAATAGTCTAGTCTGTCGATGACGGACCGACTAACAGTCCAGTCTGAGGTGTCCAGACCGACTTTCTGGACTATTAGGAACGCTGCTCTACTGGCCTCTGACAGGCGTCTTTCCTGCTGGCATATCCGTGATGAAGACCCCTCAAAGCGGCCTGGACGAGCTCGAATCCTTTCAGAAGCCCGATGGCACCTGGCATGAAGTTGCATCATTACCTCTGACTGAACCTCCAGTCTCCTCTGTCGAGACTTCCCTCCGCTTCCTGAACGAGTGGGAACGCAACTGGACAGAACGA